AGGATAAAACCTGCCCCTGGCTCTACAGGGACGTCCTGGCTTGTGTCTGTCCCTGCGTCACCCCGGTCTGATCCTTGTGCTGGTGTCTTCTGTCCCCAAGGCACTCATGGTCCCCGCGAGGGGGGACGCAGGCACGGGGTGCTGGGGCTGGGTGCAACCGGGGTGCTGGGCTGGCTGTGTCTCGTCGCTCCCTCACAGAGGGCACTGCTGAGCCCGGGAGCCTGCAGCCAGATGAGACGCCGTCAACAAGGAAGGAAGAAAGAGAAAAAATAACCCTGACCCAGGAAAAAGGGTATGAACCACCAAAGCCAAATCACGTGCGGTGCCGTGGGACGGCTCCAGCAGCCTCCCAGTGCGGCGGCACAGAGGACAGGGCCGTGTCCCCTAGCCGGAGGGAGACCGGTGATGCTCCCAGCAAACACTCCTGGAGCCTAACGGGGGGCTGCTGAGCTGGAGGTGGTTGTGTTCGGCAGAGGGGAGCAGCTCTGTGGGCCGAGGTAGGGGGGACCGCTGGCGTTTCGGGGCAGCGTGGCAATGGGGGACACGGGCGAAGGAAGGGATGTGCAGGGGAGGGAGAGGGGGTTTAATCCCCGCAGTCTCAGCTGATGGGGTAGCCACTAAACCGTGTTTTTACAGAAACTGCAACATGGGGAGGGGTGCTGGGTTTTTCCTACTGGCCAAGGCAGACAGGGACCAGGGGTGCTGGGGTCAGTGGGGGGCTGCCAGGGACCATCCTGCTGTCGCCCTGTCCCTGCCTGCGCAGGTAGCTGGGTCCCGGGGTCTCCCCGGGGAGCTGACTTGCTGCTCTGCGAGTCCTGGGGGCTGTCCTGGGGGCCCTGCTCCCTCCAGGGGGAAATGCCTGCCGCAAAGCCGGGAGGGCTTGTGCTAGCATCGGGGCAGGGGGACGCCGAAAACCCACTGCCTGCGCTTCGGCTCCGGCATTTCGGAGGTCTCACCTCGGGGCTGGGAGCCCTTGCCTGCGGTTCGCAGCTGCCCATCCCCACTTGCTGGCTGCTCCTCCTTGTTTCCGGCTCTGAACACTGGCAAGGGGCAGAAAACATGGGGAAGGCGTTCTATACACACCTGCCAAGGTGACTGTGCTCGTAACACTAGTGCGGAGTCCGGGTGAAATGGGAAGAGCAAGAGGTAATGGGTGGGAGTAATCCGGCCCTACAGGTTTCCAGTCTGGACAGGATGATTCTCCCACCCGTCTGCCTCTCGAGGTGGCCCTGGGCTCCCCGCTTCGCTGGGGACATGTCCCCACGACCGGGAGGTCAGCGCTGGAGGCCTCAAGGACCTTGCACGTCTCTCCCTGGAGAGCAAGGTTACCTCCATAGCCGGCAAGAGCAGGGAAAAAAATTCCCTGGGAGCCGAGTGCTGCGGCACGGCCAAGGTAAGGAGATACTGGCCAGGTTTCGGAGAGAGGGAGAAGGAAGCCGAGCAGCAACGCGCTGCAGTGTGGGCCTGGGGCTGTGCCCAGCTGCCATGCAGGCGCCTGGTGGGTCCAGCCTCTGCTGTGGACTGAGGTCTCTACCCAGGGCACGGCACCCCGAGGGGGCTGCCTTGGGGTGGCCTGTGTAC